TTTTTTTTTTTTTTCCCCCCCTTTTCTTTTTCTCTCCTTCTTCTTCTTCTTCTTTCTCTCTTTCCTTTCTCTGCCTCTCAAGTGCGATAAGGAGATTTAGAAGGAATGGGAAAAACACAGCCTAGCCCGTGGGGCAGATAGCTTTTTTTGGTCCATTTCTAAATGCTCTTATTTGCTTAACAGGGAGGCCCACAGTAAACAGCCACTGTAGCTAACAGTTAGATCACCAATTGAATTTACAGTTGAATGTCCGTTTCTAAATGTCATATTAAGTTAAGTTATGACCTTCACACCAGCCTCCCAGTGACCTTGACGTGTTTTGAGTGTTCTTCTCTTGCTGTTTCATTAGATTAGAATACATGCCATCCACAGTATTCTCTATGTGTAATGAGTACTGTGCTGTGTATTCAGTAAATATTCCAGAATCTTCCTCACGTCACGACATGTATTGCAGTCACTCATGCGAAATTAATCAATTGTATAGTATGTTGGAAAAGCAATGGAGACTGGCAATGGGAACGGTGGATTTACACTGCATATACTGTAGGTTTCCATCCACTTCAATTCTGAAGGTCTGGTGTCAAGGACATGGGAAGAAGTGAGGGGATATGTGTGATCCTCTGGGCCAGGCCTGGGAGTGGGACAGTCTAGCCCAGAGCAGTGGATCTTGGTCTGGGCTAGTCCCTTTGTCTCTGCCCCTCCCTGGATGATGTCCACCATAATTGCTGGGATTTAAATAATTTCTCATGGGGGATTGAGCTCAGTTTCAACCCCCCCAATCCCAATATTACACCATTATCTCCCTTTTAGCGGACCGAGTGGCACAGCGGTCTAAGGCACTGCATCGCAGTGCTAGAGGCGTCACTACAGACCCGAGTTCCTGCCTGTGTTTTAGCATCTGTCCTGCCTGTGTTTTAGCATCTGTCCTGCCTGTGTTTTAGCATCTGTCCTGCCTGTGTTAGCATCTGTCCTGCCTGTATTTTAGACTCTGTCCTGCCTGTATTTTAGACGCTGTCCTGCCTGTGTTTTAGCATCTATCCTGCCTGTGTTTTAGCCACTGTCCTGCCTGTGTTTTAGACCCTGTCCTGCCTGTGTTTTAGACTCTGTCCTACCTGTGTTTTAGCATCTGTCCTGCCTGTGTTTTAGCCTCTGTCCTGCCTGTGTTTTAGACCCTGTCCTGCCTGTGTTTTAGACTCTGTCCTGCCTCTGTTTTAGCATCTGTCCTACCTGTGTTTTAGACCCTGTCCTGCCTGTGTTTTAGACCCTGTCCTGCCTGTGTTTTAGACCCTGTCCTGCCTGTGTTTTAGACTCTGTCCTGCCTGTGTTTTAGCATCTGTCCTACCTGTGTTTTAGACTCTGTCCTGCCTGTGTTTTAGACTCTGTCCTGCCTGTGTTTTAGCATCTGTCCTACCTGTGTTTTAGAC